GAATTTAACTTGAATCATTGTGTCTTTAACTCAAATTTTGCTACAATAGGCTCTGTTCTTAATTATGGGTCGTCTGTAAACCAGGCATTCTTAACCTGGGGACTACCTGTAGTGTTAAGGACTGTCGAGTCCAAATCCCTATTTAACCATGAAGCTCACTGAAGGAGCTCTATCTGTCTAACTCAGTGTTTCTCAACCTTGGCAACTTTAAGATGTGTGGACTTCAACTCCCAGAATTCTGCCCTAACTTATTTTTCTCCAACCCAGTATCCTTGGATTACAAACCCCATTGTGCCACCCAACATGATCCACTGATGATGGGAACTGTAATTCAACACTAGCCTAATTCACCATCCAGAGTTGTTGTAAGGAAAAGAGGCTCCATGGGTGTGTTCAATGGGTGTAACTTTAAGGTAAAAGCTGAAATAAGGCAAACGTTTCTCTGAGTCAAGCTGAACGCCTGGTAACTTCATGTCCCTCTCCATGTAGTTTTCTGGAATTAATTTACTATCACCTTCTTTTGGGATTTTTTTTTTCAACTCCTCCATCAATCCTATAGACCTTGAATCTCCTGATGATCTCCCATCCAAGAACTAACCAGGTCTAACTCTGCTTAGCTTTTCTAAATCAGCCCAGTCATTAGGACCTGCTGGCTGTTGCAGGAGGAATGATGGGTTAGATGTAAGCTAGACAAGAGGAGAACTATCTTCCACTTTTACTCTCACGTATTCTTAGCAGGTGCACCTAACCAGCCATGGCTACTCTCCAAAAGCTAAGCGTGGCCACTCCTTTTTTAATAAATTTTATTAAACGTTTTAAAAAGAAGATAAAAACTAGCAAAAACTAATACAAAGGAAAGAAAGGAAAAAAGAGAAAGAAAAAGAAGAAAAGATGAAAAGAAATAGAAAGATGGATGCTATCGAGTAAAATAAAATCAAGAGAAGGTCTGAATACAGACAGACATACTTGCCAATGATTTTCTTACATACAATCATCAAAAAGCTTCAATGTAGACAAAAGATGTTTTGGTTTTGAACAATGTAAGACTGAGTTTGAAACAGAGCTCTGTACAAACGATGAACATGTAATTGCTAAAATGTATAAACTCTTGTTGAAATTTGAGACAGAAGAAGAACAAGTGAAAGAATGTATGATAAAATGGACTAAAAAAATTGGTTATGGAACAATGGGAAAATATGCGGTTGGAAGGCTTGAAATTGACATTATGCTCTAGTCTTACCGGGAATTTTTATAAAATGATGTACCGTTGGTGTATGACACCAGAGAAACTGTCTAGAACGTACAAAGGTACTTTGAATATATGCTGGAAATGTGAACAACATGAAGGGACATTTTATCACGTTTGGTAGACATGTAAATGAGCATGAAACTGAGCAAACTCAGGGAGGCAGTGAAGGACAGGAAGGC